GGAGGAGGGCCTGCTCCTCAGCCTGACAGGTGGCGTCCTGAGAGTGTCCCCCAAACTCCTTCCAGGGGCCCAGGTTGTGTGTAACGTTCGGACTGACCGTCCAGGACCGGGCGTGTGACTGAGGGACACCCCCTTTGGCTGCGGGACCAGTCCCCCTCCCAAGATGCAGTCTCGGATCGTTCATTCTCGGGTCAAATTTCCCAAGGAGTCTGGAGAGCCATGACTGACAGAGGAACGGGGGTGAGAGGGTGTGTGCACGTGCCCGTGTGTGCGTGCATGGGTGTGCGTGCACATACATGGGGTGTGCATGTGCGCCCATGTGTGTGTGTGCATGGGTGTGTGTGCACATACATGGGGTGTGCACGTGTGCATGTGCGCCCGTGTGTGTGCGCATGGGTGTGCGTGCACACGCATGGGGGTGTGCGTGTGCATGTGCCCATGTGTGTGCACGAGTGTGTGCACATACATGGGGCGTGCACGCGTGTGAGTGTGCCCATGTGTGCGCATGGGTGTGCACATGCATGGGGTGTGCACGTGTGTGCATATGCAGTGGGCAGCGTGGGCCGTGCACACGTGTGCATGAGCACAGCTCACCCGTCCTGCCCAGCGTCCAGAAGAGTCCGAGGACACGGCCGGGCACTGAGGTGGGGGCGGTCTCCTGCTGGGCTCGGCGCCCGGGCAAGTGGGAAGCTGCCGAAAGCTCCTCTCCCAGGACACAGAGCGAGGCGCTTCCTCTCCACATAATTACAGAGCCTCAGCCGGCGAGGTGTCTCCCGGGAAGGGCGTTGGCACTCACACCGCCTCAGAGAGGCAACAGGTCCCCGGGGGAAGCTCAGACGCATCGCCGAGCGGATTCAAACTGCACTCACGAAAACTGACGCTTCCAGCAGCTTCCGCGGGCACCAAGCTGGCCCAGAGAACGGGGGAAGGGCGGCAGCGGTGTGGACACCAGGACTCGGGTGTGGGCATGGGGCCGTCACCACCCCGACCTTCCCCGGGCGCAAGGGCTGCCCCCCACACCCCCAC